CCTTTTTCCAGTTGTCGGGAACTTCACCTGACTGCCATGATTTTTCAAATATGATGGTCAGTGGCTTAGCAACTTCATTCACGAGCTCCTTCAGGACCCGTGGATGGATTTCATCAGGTCCTATGGACTTGTGCAAATTCAGGTTCTTAAGATGGTCTCGAACCAGATCCTCTCCTGCAGTGGGCCTAAAGTCTTCATTCTCACAATCCCTGAATCTGCTTTCCAAGACTTGTTTGGTGTGGTCAGAGCCTTTGCCGGTGAAGACTGAGGCAAAGAAGTCATTAAGAACCTCAGCCTTCTTCAAATCCAGGGTAGCCAGTTCTCCTGATAGCTTCCAGAGAGGCCTACGTTGTCCTTAGTCTATCTTTTATTAGCAATGTACCTATAGAATCCCTTAATTTAGCATCTCAGTAGAGAACTGAGGATTTTAGCAAGGTGAGAATGGATCTTTTTCCCATTGTGTCCTCAAGCTTGTTTCTGACTACGTAAAGTACATGGGTTAAAACACTTGGACTTATTTGGGGGTTTTAACTAGTTTCTCTTGGACTTCACACAAGAGAGGTATTAGGGTATTGCTAATATGGAGGTTGATTTCTCTTCAGGTTGTTGAACACAGAATATCTGGATATGAAGGGAGGATGGGATGTTTCTCTAGGTATTATGTCAACTACCAAACAGGTATCAGTGTTTTTTCTTCACAAGCCAAGAATGGCAAGGGCCAAAGTCACAAATTCTTTATCAAGCCAACTCCAGTGCCCTAAACTTCTGGATAAATAAACATTCTCCAAGAATGTACATGACCTTTGCTCACTGCATGTGTGGAAGTTGTTTGAGAAGGTTCCCCAAGAACACAGAAGTGTTTGAAGTGTTCTGTGCATAGTTCTGCTGTAAGGGCTGATGTCAAGCACAATTAAAGAAGTATAATATGACAAGCAGCAGTTTAATGGGATATTTGGTACTTTCTATGGACAGTTATTTACTATGGCAAATTTATCTTAGTTGCAATACAGCTGCAGAGGTTTTGAGGAACTCATTGCTTTTCATATACGCTTTCATTTCTTTGTGAAGAGCTTCAGTTTCTGCATCTGTTTCTTCAGTGCAGCACAGCATGTGAAAAAACTTAAAGAGTCCCAAGAAGCAGAAAGAGGCTATCTGGTCATTGAGCTGTTTGTTAGTGTCAAAGCGACCACACAGTGATGGTTCTTAACACTGTTTCCTGTGATGAGAGTGCTTTGGATACATGTGAAGCCAGAATGTTGTTTCAATTTGTTTTCTTGTTCTGAGTGTCCAGAGCTGACTTCAGTTCCTCTACCCACACAGAGCCTTTCCATGTTCTTAGTGTACCAAGCGTGCACAAAAAGACGGAACTGGAGTCAAAAAGAAATTCTCCATTAAAACAGGAAATAAAACACTACTGAAACATTTTGATATCTTTGGCACCATGGGCCTGATTATAAGAGCTTTTTCATAATAAATGTCACCTTTCATACTAAATGTAACTCATCCCATTATTTTCAGTACTAGAATTAAAGCATTTTACGCCCACATCAGTCTCAGTCATAAGTGTAGGCAATTACAACTCTAAAGGTAGTGAAGAAAATAGTTAAATAGTTAAAGAAGTAGTGAAGAAAATAGTTGAAAAATAAAAAAGCATTGTTTACATTAATATGATGATCATTCAGTTATTGTTAGATTCCAGCAGTGTATATAAATTAAAAGGGACAGCTTGTTCAGCCCTTATGCTTAAAAATAAGTAATTAATATATAATGCATGTGATGTCCTTTCCTGGCTCAGTTTCCTATTGCCTGAATTTGGCTCCCAAGAGACATCAGATTAAAGGAGTATTATGCACGGAGACTTGAACAGACTTTTTACCTTGATCCCAAAAAATATTTACAATAAAGTAACGGTGTATGAAGACAATGCATTTATGTCAACATATACACAACACTGTATTAGGGAAACATGACACTGTTAAAACATAGAAATTTGACAATATAATTAATACCAACTAATATGTCTTTAAAACAAAACAAAATGAAAAAATAAAACAAAGCAAAACACACCTTTCTGGCTTCTTTTTTTCATTAGAATCTGCTTAAAAGAATTCTGTTGCAGATACATGCTTAGATTACCAGTGTTACTCATTTTTATCAGGGATTTTAAAACAATTAGACATTATAGCTGGTAAATAAAGACTATGAAGACTTAAATGGGAACAGAAAGTCCTCAGAGAGTCAGATATAACAAGAGAAAATCATGTGTAATCTCAGCTCATTTAGGCAAAATTTGTCTTTACTCGAAGTACACATGTAGAATGAAGAAATGTAAACCATACCTGCAAAGAGTTGTGTGATGTCTTGGGAACAAATCTAGATGTTCTAAAGAACTCTACAAATTAGTAAGGACAATGATGTGCCAGGAAAGTCTAATGAATTATTGTTATCATTTTATAATCCTAAATTCTTAAAGATTTACCCTTAAGGATTCTTCATATAGTTACAAAGGTTTTGAATAAAAGATTTTGCTAATGGGCCTTAGTTTGATATTCAGGTGTCTGCACTTCCAAAACAGGAGGAGGGATAACAACTGGAGAAAATACTGAAATGCCCTAGATGCAATCAATAGGTATATGGCCAGATTAAGAATGGCTTGTAATACTGATCACTGCATGTGGCAGACAAGCGCATGCTGTGTAGAATTCCAGTGCCAGATTTTTTTCAATGCTGGCAAAGTTGGAGAGATTACAGAAATAGCTACAAATTAAGGGGAGGGGAGGGAAAGAAATGTTTTGGGAAAAGGCTAAAAGCTTTGTGTCTTTAAAGTTATCAAAATCTAGTAAGCAAAGGTAGAAATAAAAGTAATAGAACCTGAAGCCTGATGAGCTTGGGAAACAGTAAAATACAAATTTTAACAGTGAGCAAACTCAAGCAAACTCTGTAGTGGTATATTCCTTCTCTCATTTTCAAACAAGTGGGACATCTTGCTGCAACATAAATTTTAGCCAAAATTGTATTTTAGATCTCTAGTTGTTGGGCTCAACATAGGGCAAGTATTTTACATGTGGTGTCTTCTAAAATATATGACGAGAAACAGCAGATGTCATCTTTGAATTACAAGGGACATAAAGAAGCTGTTTGGTGTCATCCATATGTGTACTAGAACTTATTCATGCCATAAGTTTATTCTACTTCTTCAACATGAACCTTCAAGCCATGGAAATTCCACTTTCAGTTATTAGAAACTGACTCCTAACAAACATTGCTGGCCTTTAAACACATTACTTCTTGCCTTCTCCATCACAGAAATGAAGAAAAAATATTTCCCTTTCTTCTTTGACAGAGACTTAGGTATTAATTTTGTTTTCCCTCAGTCTTATCATATTCCCCTAAACAACCATCATTTGTTAAATGTATCTAGGAACCAATGTTTTCTAGACCTCTAATCTTTCTCACTTTTCTCCTATGGACTCTCTCCAACTGGTACACATTAATCCTGTGGTAGCTTCCCCCCTATGAAGTGGAAGGATTATTTTACTTGACTTTTAGATTATGCTTTTGCATAAAATTATTAAAAGATGTGTGAGGTTTCTTAACAAAAGAACCAAAGAATTCACCAGTGTCAGCAGCAGCATTGGAACTTTCAGTATTCTGCTGTTTAAGTAATGGAGGAACTTAAACGGTTTCAAATGCAGTGCTGCTGACACACATGTTGACAAGTTACTCCAAGCATATCCAAAGCCCAGCATATCCAAATTTTTTTGAGTTCTTTGATGGTAACAGAAAAATGGTTAAGACTTTGTAATTTCGCTTTGATTTCCATGTGACGCATGAGATGTCCTTCAAGTAGTTGTTGATTCCCCTTCTCCTTCCCTCAAGGACAGATTCTTAGACACCTAAAGAGCTAAAGATAGCTCTTTCAGTAGTTTCTGTAACTTTCAGTCTTGCTATTAAGCATTCCTACATATTTGTCCTTGTTCTGTGTTCAAACCACTTTTTTCTAAAAAAAAAAGTGAAAGTATATCTTTCTTGAGAAGATTTTTCTTTCACTATACAGGTGTGAACTTGAAGAAAATCTCCAGAAAAAAAAAGTTCTTTTCAGTTTCAATTGGTTTAACTGAACTGTGAATTATCTTTTTCTTTCTTCTCTCTTTTTCTTAGATTTTGCTGGACTTCCCTCTGTACAGCTAGGGACAATTCTTTCTGAGTACCTTTAAATCCACTCATGATACTTGAAAGAAAACTCTAGTTTTCATGGCATTCAAACAGTGATATCATTTGGTTGTGTTGAATAACTTCTCTCAATGTGAACTTTCAAAGCAGTGGTTACTATGGTTGTACATGGAGCTTGAATTCAGTGCAGCACACAATTCACACATACCAACCCACTCATGTATTATGGTATCTGTGCCTGGTGCACTGCATCATCGTGTTTGTTAGGCTGCGCCTGTTTGTGTAGCTTCTGTGCAGCTTCTCAAACTACCACTTTTCTGGTATGGGCTTGCTAGGAAATTAAGTCCAGACTTTTACAATTTAGGTTACAAATATATTTGAAGATGTACAGAGACTATTATACCTCTTAATCAGTGCCAAAATATCTTTTCATCCCTTCCCTTGAAACTGTCTCTGAGCAAGGTAAACTCCAGCAAGACTGCATCAGTGCTCACATGATGATCTGCTCATCTGCAGCTGATCTTTTCAAGTAATTTGTAGAATTAAATGACAATTCAATTTTGAGACAGCTTAAATAGTGGATGAACTGATATTTTTGTGTCTTATTCATATCTTGGCAAAAAAGATTTCAAGCCTTCTATACATTCTTCTAGGCAGAGGCTCTCTGGCAAGATAAGGCACCAAATATATCTAAGTGAGTTCAACAAAATGTGTTTGCTCTGGGGTGTGTGCAGTACCGATATTGCATCCTAATGCTTCATGTAAACAGTGACGCTCCTTCCTCAGTTGTTTGCTTGATAAATTCAGACTGTCCTGCTTTTTTTCAGTCCCTAGAAATGAAGGTTTGAAACAGACAGTATCTCCCTCAGCAGCACTTTCCCTGCCTGTACCTCCACCACACCCTGCTATGCAGTTGCCATCGCCTCCATCAGCCTCTCACCCATCTCTGCAGGCAGAAGCAGCTCCTAACCTGCCTCCAAGAAACATCAAGCCCAGCTTTGAAACAGTGTAAGTGAACATAAACCCAAAGGTCTGTATTTTCTCACCTTTTTCTATTACTTTGTTCCTGCAGTAGCAGATTAAAGTTGCAGGTGTCCCGGATTTCTGTGGCAGCGAGGTCCCACACCACTTTCCTTGTCCTACCCTGTCCCTGGACAGTTTGGAATTAGGTTTGATTAGATTGAACCCTCCATCTATTCAACTGTTTCCCCAAATTGTCTTATCTATAAAACCACTTTTTTTCTGCCTTGTTGGTAGAGGGGAGGAGGGAGAGAAGAGACACCCCTCTGGGTTCATTAGACCAGAACAGTTCAAGGGCTTCATACACTGGTAGAAAATCATTTGTATCAGTAATTAAAGCTTTCCTCTGCCTTTTTCTGGGGAAGGAGGACCAGGAAGGTAAGGTCTATTGGCTGATACCCCAGGAAACAGCTGTGCAAGCCAGAGATACTGAGCTCAGTGCTGGTTATGAAACTGTACCAAGGGCTGTGCTGTGGCCTGTTGTGATAACACTGAAAAGCCTCTATCACATATAGGGCTCTTTTCTAGATCCTTCCTCAAAGAGCTGCATACATAATGGGAACCTCTCAGTGATGAAGAGCTAAGCCCACTTCATTCCAGTGTCAAAACTGACCAGAAACAAGCTGATCCTGAATAATCACCCGCTCTCTGGCCAGTGGTTATGGCAAATAGCAGGAAACAGACAACAGGGAGAATGTATTAGGCATTAGAGAGGTGTGGATTAGCATATACCCCATCCAGCAGCAGGAGCACTGGCCACCTCTCTGCAGCCACTGCTGCAGCTCCCCAGACACCCTCCTTGCCAAGTGCTTGGGATCCAAGTGTGCTCTCTTTGACTTCAGGAATGGGGAAAATTTACTTACAGATTGTCCTTCCACTCTCCTGTTCCTGTGTGCCCTTTGGGCCCTCCCTTCTGCTGAAAATGTGTGCCTGGATGCTGACACTGTTCCTTTCACCATGTCTTCGTTGCTTTCTCCATCAGGCCAATTTTAAAACATCACATTCTGCTTTCAAGTCCTTTCTTTGATTACATTTCTTTGTTGATGGCTGTCAGCTCTAGTTTTCTTTCAACTAACATAAGGTATTTTAAAGTTAAAAGTCCCTGATATTATTATTAGTTACATTCTCAATTCTTGCTTCTCTCGGTTTGACATCACTTTTAAATCTAACAGCATCAGAGACTTTTACCTGGGCTAACTTTATACCACTGTTTCTCTTATCCCTTGTTCAGACTTTAAGCTCTGCAAGTCAAGGAGCATATTTTAGAGCTATATTTAACAAGGAGCAAAAGTCTGGCATTCTGCTTATGCATTGTGTAAGAAGCCTGCACCTGTGAAGATGGTTAAAAAGCCCAAAAGATTCTTTGCATTCTGTCAGCCCATCTGCCTATTATATTTTTTCATACAATTTTCATTTGTAAACAGATAGCATAGGTAAGTTCTTCTCCATAGAGTGCCTTTGACTCATTTTCTCCTTTTATATTCAGAATCTAGGTGTCCTGATTTCTAGGTGTCCGGGGGGGGGGGGGGGGGGGAATAAAAAAAAGCTGCAGTTAGGAAGAACAATTAGTAAATCTTGTGGGTACTTAAGTAGCTTACAAGGCTCAACAGCCTGTCCACACATTGTATAAAATAGCTGAAAAAAACACCAGAACAATGGTGCTTGAAAATGCAGTCTCCATAGGTTTCACATGTCCCCTTTTTCATATTTACAGAAGTCCAGAAAATGAAGAAAATTATGATGATGTTGAATTTGTTTCACAGGGTAAGATGCATACATTTTAATTAATGGCAGTTGTAAGAATCTGTAAGCATACTGTATTTATAAGATAAGCAAAAGGAAATTGTATTTGTGAGTGACTTGTGTTACTAATTATGCTGTTTCTGCAGCTTTATCCTTGAAGTTAGTTATCTCATAACACTAACTGTTCTATAATTAATATGACAGACTCTCAGGGACTGCTTTAAATATCCCCCCTTTATTAGTTGGAAGTATGCTGGGACTATAAATTACCAGGTTTTCAAATCTGAACCAAAAGGAATGCTGCTCTTCCAGAGCTGACGTTGCGTGCTCTGGTGAAACAGGCATTGTTTTATACTTGATTAAAAAAAAATAAATTGTTGACTGTGCTTTTAATGTCTCTTTGTGGTCTGCCTTCAATAAAAGGCAGTGAGTCACTATGTTGTACCAGGAGCAGCCGGAGAAGCAGATTGTGACACAAAGAATTTCAATCTGCCTTCTGATCTCTCCTCTGGAGGACTTGGTTTGTGCCAGGCACAGTATGCATCATTTAGTGTGCTAGCCATCCCTGCCATACAGCAATGTGAGCTGTAGAGCTGAAACTGAGCCCAAGCTCTTTTCTCACCTAACTGCCAGCAGAGTAAGGAGGAAGGAGGAAATTCACAGTTTCTTCTCCTGCAGCTCAGGGTAGAGCTGGCTTAGCAGAAGAGCCTTTGCCTCCGTATTCAGCTGTGGGCCTGGTGCAAGCATGTTCTTTGAGGTTTATTTGGATTTATTAGATTTTTAACAACTCCTTTCTTGCATGAATAGGCATTTTGTAAACAAATAGCATAGGTAAGTTCATCATTGTCACTAAAGAATTTTTTTTTTAAAATTCCACTTTTGAAAATACATGGTGAAATATGCTGTTTTGTAGATATTTCTAGTTTACAGTGTATTACAAAAGCAAACTGAAAAAAAACTCTGATTTTTGCATTCATACCCCTATTAAAAGCCAGAAGCTTTCTACTTAATATCATTGGTATTAGTAGCAATTTGTAAATAGTTAATGCTAGAATGAATTATTTTCTGTACGTCAAAAAATAAATACCCTGTTTTTATTTTTTGCCACATAGGTCATCAAAACACAGAGGGGGTAAGTGTTATCATCCTTAACAAACCAATCCTTTTAACACGAACTTACAAATTTAGTAAAATCCTTTCAATACATTAGAAAACTTAATTGCTGAATGAATCCAGTATATTGACAGCCAGTTGTAGAAACACTTACTTATTGTGAAGTAAAGAAATAAAACTGGTTAAGTGGAGAAAACTGGATTATTATGAAAGCTGGCTAGACACCAGAAATTGATTTTTAAAAAGCAAAATCACCCCTTCTATTTCCACTAATATTTTATTTCACTAAAATTTTCCAGAAACAAGAACAGCTTAAACTACAACATTGTTTTATTCCAGTAATAAACCACTTGTTTCAGTTCAGCACAGGTTTGTATTGGTGTCTTTAAGTAGATATATTAAATGTATTAGGACTAAAACAGTCTCTGAGACCTTCATCTGAGTCCCGTGTAGATCCCTACTGTTCTAGTTTAACTACTGCTAACCCTAGTACCTTCACCGTGACAGTGCAATAATCAACACAAAGGCTTTCCAGGACTAACAACTGCACTTGAAACATCCACTTTGGATTAAGCAGTGTGCTAGTATGATTATAATCAGTACTTCATAGATGCAGTATTATAGAAACAAAGGCAGAAAAAAGGAACAGTGGGTTTGAATAATATAGTAACTTGGTTTGGGATGATTAAACTTGTTTGTATTTTCATTTTGCTGGAAATGTTTTTATGTAGTTTTTATGAAGCTTACATAGCAGGTCCAGTTTCCTCATGTCTTTCCATTGAAAACTGAATTTTTCTTACAGGGCCAAGAAAGTGATGGTGAGATGTATGAAGACATAAATGACATCAGGTAGTAATTTTAAACTCTAGAACCTATTGTATCTTTGTTAGTAAAAGCTTGCTAACAAAGTTATTTCACCTGGCCAAAAGAGTGATCCCACTGTAGTCCCTGCCAGGCATTGTTGCATTCATTCATTTTGCCTAGAGGAAGTCCAGTTGTTCTCAGGTTCTTTCCTACTTAGATCTGCTATGCCCTGGGCGGGGAAAATCTCCTGCAATAAAATCATGTGATTACTATGATCAAGATAACAAAAGTCTGATTTCTGATCTAAGGAACATGTCTGAATCACTGTTTGGAATTACAGCCTAGGAGGGAAAAATAAGCTCAGCCCCTAGGCACTGTGGTCCCAGATAGAGCTTTTGTTGTGGTTGTTTTTCTTGCATTCTTGGTAAATGTTCTTAGAACTCATATGAAAGGCTGGATTTACAATTTACTCATGGCCTGAGTCCTCTAGCTTAGGTACTGAGACAGAATATGAACTCGACCTATTCTTCTGCCATTTAGTCCCTTCCTTTGAGAAGTCTCTTGTCCTGCTAATGTCTAAATGTATGGGATTCACTGTATGACAACAGCCAAAGAAAAGCTAATTCCCTTCGAATCAGTAACAGTCTAAAGATCCTTGTTGAAGATGTAGAATGACTTTCAGCAAAAACTTATTAATTCCCTCTGGAAACAGATAATTTTAAAACTACATAATCAAAACAAGCAATCCTTTTTCAGTCTTCTTTTTTTAATGTAATTTAAGCATATTAGTTTAGCTAAAGTACCAAAAAAGGAAGAGGAGGGACCCACACTCAGTCATTTCCATAGGGTCTGTAAAGCACAGCTCTTCCAGTGAAACCATTGGCACCAAATGGCAGAGCTGTAGCTATAGTCTGAATTACATCCCAGGGCCTAGATCTCAGCGCCATCCAGTACATGAGGCACAGAAGGCAATGTGCCCTAGTGTGATAGGCATATTTGTGATGTGGTGCAGAAGACTGACTGTCATTTATGTAGAATGCAGTTAGGTTTAAAACCTCAGTCCAGTGGTAGCTCAGGCTCCATTTCAGGCTGCATCAACCACTGACGGCCTGAGTAAATATTTAACAGCTGCAGTCAGTGCCACAGCACCCAGACAGCTACCAATTTCCAAGCTTGATTTCTAAAATTAGCTCAGAAGTGTTTAAATATGCACATAGAGCCAGTTTTTTACCTCCAGATAAACTTCTCTGGTATATTGTCCTCTTAAGGACAGGCACTTTAAATTGTATTTGTAATATAAGATAAAGGGCTGCTTACTCTACCTGTTGCATCCAGACTAGGGTTGGGAATCTGTAGCTTTGATGTCAGTCTTTTTCCACCACATATAGTTCTTTGTTAACCTTGGAAAAGGCGGCTTTAGTGAGATTTGTTTCACAGTTACATTCAATCCTGGCAATGCACTTTCAGATCATCAAGGGAAAAAGAGAAGAAGTGGGACAAGGAAGAAAAGAGAAGAGTGGACCAAGAGAAGAAGGAACAAAAGGAAAAAGAAAAGAAAGAGCAGGAAATAAGGAAGAAGTTCAAAGTAAGCTTTTTGTTTTCTAATCTAACCAAAGACATGTAAGAAGCATTGTTTAGCATTGTCAAGTTCAAAATACACTTTTCAGCTAGAAACAAACCATTTGTTATGATAGGTAGTTCAAGCACCTGGATGAATTCTGAATAAAGGTTTAAGTTACCCTTTTATGTTTGGCATATGCTTGAGTTCAGGCTCTGTACTGAGGGCAAAGTCAGTTTCAGTGTTTATACTGTTTTCATTAAACTCCCTTCTCACATTCTTTTTATGTAAAAAAAGTCTTAAAAACATTTCCTTCCACTTTTCTGTTTAAAAAAACATTTACATCACTAATATCATCAAAAGTCCTTAATAAAAGTGGAAATTGATCACATATACTTAATGGGTTTTGCTTCGCTGGAGTCAAATACAACTGTGTCCAGCCCTTAAGAGATTTCAGCATTCTACTACATTACCCTTTCCTTGGTCTAAAGGGACCTAAAGGGGCATCCAGCTAGGGGCTAAATGATGAGACAGTTCTTTCTGGTTTGTATCATTTTTATAAAGCTGGTGCAGCATGCTACCACAGTCTACAAACCTGCCAGTCATTCTCTGTTGACTAATGCCTGTTCACTGTGCTGCACTGTACTGCTTTCAGCATTGTACATAGTGGGCAGCTTTGTTTTTCTTCATATTACGCTCTCTCTGTACACAGTAAAACCATGATGATTCTCTCACATCATAGCCTTGGTCTGCTGTGGAGAGACTGCCATGAGCTGAGAAGCAAATATTGAAGGAAAACAGTAATAGTTAATAATAGTGGGTTAGCTGGTGTTTGGCAGGCCCCAAGTCTATTTTTCAAATCACTCCTGTGGAGTGGAGGCATTAGTGCACAGAATGCTTTCAGACTGCAGATTGCTGTCTTGCAGTCATTAAGGTGTGTTGTTATTCTTAAAAGCAGACAAATACATTTTAATATATATTTTCTTTCACATTTCTTCACTGCCTGAACTAGTCTGTAATTGTCGAAGGCCACTAGCCTCTGTAAAATCACATGTATCTTAAAGACACAGATACTAAATCCAAAATGGTTTCTTCATAACATGTACTAAAGATTTCACAAAGAGAATCCTGAATTCCAGTAAACATTGTGATCATCTCTTGTGAGTACTTGTAGGATCATTTACAGATCAGAATTGTAAACACAGGACATTATGTGGTAGACATATTTATGTTAATGCACATTTACTCATACGATTTGTATCAGCAACGGTGTGGCAGCAGGGCCAGGGCGGTGATCACCCCCCTGTACTGGGCACTGGTGAGGCTGCACCTGAAATCGTGGTTTGACCCCCTCACTAGAGAGACATTGAGGTGCTGGAGCAGGTCCATAAAATGGCAGAGAAGCTGGTGAAGGGTCTCGAGCACACGTCTGATGAGGAACAGCCGAGAGAAATGGGGGTGTTTAGTCTGGAAGCTGAGGGGAGCACTTACCACTCTCTACAACTACTCTTACCCCAAGTAACAAGTGATTGATTGTTGGTTTTTTGTTTGCTTGTGAGTTGTTTTATTTTTCTATTTTTTTAGGTCCCAGTTTAGACCACTGCTGCAGAGATTACTTAGCTCTGGTTAATCCTTACTCTTTTGCTCTTCAGAAGCTTTTACTTTTCTATCTGAAAAAGGAAGCTATTTGTTTTAAGACCCCACAAAACTCTACTCTTTTCTGACTTACCTCATTTACTACTGATATGTTGACTCATATTAGGAAAAAATTCTTCACAGAAAGGGTTGTCTAGTACTGGAACAGGCTGTCCAGGGAAGTAGTGGAGTCACCATCTCTGTGGGTACTTTAAAGGGATGTAGAAGTGGCACTTCAGGACGTGGTTTAGTGGTGGACCTGTCAGTGCTAGTTTAACACTTAGACTCAATGATCTTAAGGGTCTTTTCCAACCTGAAAAATTCTATGATTCTGGGAGTAGTTCTGCTGGAGCTACATGGAGCTGCCCACTGGAATGAAATATGTGTATATTTTGTGAACATGTAAAAGGCTCCATACTTTGTTACTTTGTTGGGTTTAGACTTTGTATTTCTGTGATCTTGCCAGTCACTTCTTCAGCTGCCCTACTGCTATGCCATATCCCTATCTTTTCATTCATGATTATTAATTTCAAACCGGGTAGTTGGGGACAGGAGTTGTGCCTTTCTGTTTATTTGCCTAAACTATTTTAAATGTTAATGAAACACGTAATCAGTATTTTAGGTTGGATATAAGCAAGAAGTTCTTTACTGTAAGGGTGATGAGGTGCTGGAAGGGGTTGCCCAAGGAAGTTGTGAATGCTCCATCCCTGGCGGTGTTCAAGGCCAGGTTGGACGGAGCCTTGGGTGACATGGTTTAGTGTGAGGTGTCCCTGCCCATGGCAGGGGGATTGGAACTGGATGATCTTAAGGTCCTTTCCAACCCTAACTATTCTATGATTCTATGATTTTATTACAATTATTTTCCCTTTTGTCTGAATGTTTTGGAAAGAACTTAGATTTTCCACATCTGCAATTTCTTCTGTTGCTTCTTCTCTGCAGTTAACAGGACCCATCCAAGTCCTTCATCAGGCACGAGCTTGTGCTGACCACAAGGGAGGGAAGAATGAGCTGACTGTCAAACAGGGGGATGAGATTGAAATAATTCGCCTGACGGACAACCCAGAAGGAAAGTGGCTGGGCAGGATAAAAGGATGTTGTGAGTTCTGTTTCTTCCCTGTGTTCATGAATGTTTTTACTGTAAGACAGCAAACATGTAAGCATTACACCAAGGAGTAGCCTTACCAAGGCTGAGTCATTGGCCGCCAAAGTAAATGATTTCCGCAACTCATCCTCCTGTCCTTAGCTGGCATGCTAGGCTTAGTTAATAGTAAAAAGTTATTTTAGAAGATAATGTAACATCTACAGACACTAGAATAAATTAGGAAAAATGTGTTTGGATCTTCATGGACCTATTGAGTGGTAATTCCATGTCAACCTTTAAATAGTATCACTCAAATAACAAGGATCACATGTTTTCATGTCTGAAATAGAAGCAGAGAATATAGAGCACTGCGCTGTTTGTCTTGTTCCTATTCGTTACTGATTTATAGATTTTACTTTGTCTGAAATCCAAGATCTGTCTCTAATAGCATAAACATCATCAGTGGGTCTATGAGCATGATAAGGAGTTTATGATCTGGCTCCTGGGTTATAACAAAGACATTAAAAGACTGAGCCATAAAATCAATGAAAACTATTAAAGCACTTGATTGATTTTTAAAGAGACTAAAATGACAGTCAGTTCAGTAAGACAGTTCACACATGTAGAACTGAACAATACCAGCTGAGTACTTTGTAGTGCTGGATGTAAAAAAAAATATTGAGGAACTGGAGCATGTCTTACACAAAGAGAGGCTAAGAAAGCCAGGACTGTTCAGCCTGGTGAAGGGAAAGCTCGGGGGGGATATTATAATTGTTCATAAATATCTGATGGGAAGGTATAAAGAACATGGAGCCAGGATCTTTCTATTGTCCCAAGAGAATTGATAGACACAAGAGGCATAGACTGAAACCTGTGAAATTCTGTATGAACATCAGGAAACACTTTTTTACTGTCAGGGTGACCAAGCAAGGGAGCAGGTTGCCAAAAGAGGTGGTAGAGCCTCCATCCATGGAGATCTCCAAAACCTAACGGGACAGAGTCCTGAGCAGCCTGCTTTAGCAGATCCTGCTTGGACAGGGGGATTGGCCAAGATGATGTCAAGAGGCAAGTTCCAATATCAGCTTTTCTGTGCTACTTTGAAGTTTCATTAATAAGTCTTTTGCATGGATCATTTTGTACACAGCAAAATAAATGTTGGTGAGGGCTGGAAGAAGGGTATTCTCTTGAGCATGTGCAGTCAATTAATTAATACATCTTTAATTAATTTACTTTTCATAAACCAATTGCATCAGCAAACACAAGCTACACAGTGACAAGTGTCAATGGTACAGTCAAATTTGTTTCACCAGATGCCAGTAATGGTCTGTGAAGAAGACCAAACAACAGAGGAAAATCAGTTCTGATCATTTAAATAAGAGAAAAAAAGAAGTTACAGATTTGGGGAGAAGCACAGTAAAAACTGGGTTCACTCAGAAACAGTGAAGGGGGGGGATTTTTCATTTTTCAGGAAATGCAGAACATTTTTTCATATTCAGAAAAATCCATTCATGCTCTCTTCTGTGCAGGCAGTACACTTGTCTAGAAGTCCTCTTAACATAGACAGAGTTCCCAATCCCAGGCCAACTGCTTTGCTGTAAGTTTCTCCTGATCCGTGGCACCTAGGGATATAACCAGACAATTTTTTACAAAAAAAAACAGGCATAAGAGGGTAGAAATAGAGTTTCAGCATATCTACCAACCTGAAGCAAAATCAGTGCAGTGTGTCTCCCTCCTAATGCCCTGTCAGAATCTTTATGTCATGGACTGCCCTAAAACACTCCATGACACTGCAGTGATACCAAGGTTAGCTGAGAAAGGGAGCTTGCCCAGTCATTCCTGGAATTTGCACAGAATATTCTTCTGCTGTACCTGAGAAACAAATAAAGGTGAAGTTAACTTGACACCAGCTGAGGAGGGTTTGGGTGTAGATCTGAGACAGGTCTGAGATTTGTATTTGTGTAGACAGATGCAGACCCAAGCTGAGGCTACTTGGAATAAGACATTTCTTTGAAAGTTTTCAAAGATCATATAGAACAATTCGACCACTTATTCTGAACCTTCTGTTAAACACATCCCTTTACCATGAGCTTTAAAACTACCTCTGCATAATTACATGTTTTCATTCATTTAGATGGATACATTAAAACAACCATGGTGGAGATTGATTATGATTCTTTAAGAAGAAAGCAACAACAGTCTACCACAGCTTCTGTGAAATGTCCAGAGAGTGACCAAGAAGTGTATGATGATGTTGGAGAGCAGGACAGTATTAGCAAGTACGTATAAGAAATGAATGATTCGCCCCGGTCAGCCTAAACAGGGGAAGGTTTACAACACCAAAGTAGACTCTTGTTACAAAAGAACAGCCATTTATGTAAGAAACATGTAACAGATATTCAGACTGATTTAGTCAGAGGAACAAGGATGGATTCTGGAATCCAGCATCTATAACCACTCATACTCAGGAGAAATCCATACGATTGGAAGAGAACCTACAGCCTAGCAGTCCAAAAGAGAATAAAATGCAAAACATGCAGGATTACAAATCAGATCTGACTTCAGGCTGGCGTTCTTTCAGCAGCCAATATAGTTTCAGGTCTGATGTTTTCCCAGGTTGCTCAGTATCAGTTTTCCTCCCTGCACATTGGTCTCATGGCATTGTAACCTAACCAGAAGTGTTGCTTTAGTTGTTCCAGGTTTTAGGAAAAACTGAGCATTAGGTATTTCATTGCAGAAGTATCTTTGGCCAACCAATTTCACTATGGCAAGCACTACAATTAACCACCTCAATGCAAGGAATTTAGAAAATATATTGAATCCAAAAGCAAGCAAGAATATTCACACTGTTATACACTAAAGTAACAGTGTAAGGAACTTGGAAGGATGAATGAATGGCTCAGATTCATGAAATCCTTTAAGATGTATTTTGCCATTTTTATCTTCTCTAGTGATGAATAGCATTCTGTTCAGTTCACAAGCATGAGTTGTTGGAAGGTCTGACATACATTAGCATGTTTTGAAAGCACTGTAAGAATGCCATCCTAAAAAAAGCCTATTGATCAAATAGTATTGTTAATATTCCAAAATATTCCTAGTGACTACTAAGGCTGTTGTATTTTAGGATTTCTTGGCACAAGAGTTCAACAAAATATGTAAAAGTTTGAGAAAGGCTCTGACCTGGAAATAATGTCAGCTACTGTGTAACTACCAGGTTTTTTCAATTACTGTTGGAATACTGGGCTAATATGGAATCCTTGAAATGTTAGAAACATGGAGTTAGAGGTGAAGCATCACCCAGTGAAAGCTGGTTGAGCATTAAGTTTATTTGTTTAACATTTCCTCTCAAGAAAATCCCCTATAAGGGATTATTCTAAATGATGTGGATGCACTCTGTAGTGTTCAGTCAAATTATATTTTTATCCCCATCAAGTTTGACTTCATGAGTTCCTGAGATCCTTTCCAACATGAAATATCTTATGATCCTAAGTCTTATTTTGTACTTTAGTTTGAAGACAGCAACAACAATATAAAATATGTTCTAAATATATTAAATCACTATAGCTGTAGACATCAATTTGCATTTCCTTGAAAATGACACTTTATTGGAAATTGCTAACAGTTGCTAACAATTACTAACAATTAGGACCAAATGTTCTGCTGGTATGAAAATGCACACCTTCATTAGCTTGAAATATCTGCTTTGATTTATGCAAATAGAGAATTTGCTTCACAGATTTACTCATAAAATACTGTCTTTTACATTAACTAAACATGGTATCATTAACTGTCTCTCATTCTCCTTTGATTTACTGTGAATGAGATTTTATAATACTCTTTTCTGATTTGTAAATAATTATTTCCAAGAAAAAGAGCAGTATTTTTTCCTACTTTACCTGAACCTACTTAATCTTTCCTCATCTAAGAGCTAGTTTACTTACGAATTAGCGCCTTTTCTTTAGCATTAGTGAGAGTGCAACTAGCATTTGACTGTAAGAAACTGGTGTGCATGTGGTGAAAACAGAGAGAGAAAAAGAACTGGCACATTTAGTTGTTGCCTATATAGAACACACAAGCATGCCTGAGCTTCCAGTGCAGAACCTGTAGTGCTCAACTGGCAGTGTAGATGAGTGCCAAAATGCTGAGAAGCAGTGGGTGATCAGGGGTTTTTCATTTTCCAAAGGATGACTGTTTTTCTCTAAAATGTCTCTCACTTGCTTTTCCAGTAACAGTGCTGGCCAAAGTGGATCTGGAAGTAAGTTCTACATACACTTTTGAGGAGGAGTGGTTTCTGCATACCGCTTACCTTCAAATCTGCACTTTCCAAATAAGACAGTAAATATACATAACCATGCTAAATATTAGCTAACCGGCAACAAATAAGCAAGTGTAGTGGCTAAATTCACTTTCTTTCCACGTATGGGAACTTGGCTAGATTCAGATACTGTGAATCAGAAGCATGCCAGAAGATGACAAAACTAATTTCTTTTTGTAAAGGTAAATCATCCTACAAAACAGCACATACATAATTGGCAAAATATTAACATGAGCAAGAGCTTTTGTGCAGGAGAAATTTAGTTCTGAAATAGCCAGTAATACTGCCAATTAAAGCTGAATTTTGCTTTGAACTTCAGTTTCACTGATACTCTGGAGTCCTAACTGGTATGACTGCAGCTGTTTCACACTGTCAAGAATGCACCTTCAAACAGTTTCCCCTTTGGTAGCACATGAATTTTCAGAGGATTCTCTGTTGATCACAAGAGCACAGCTCATCTTCTCAGCATAAAGTTTAGATACAAGTCATGGCAGAAGCATCCCCTGGCAGTGCTGAATGAAGTTGCTGCCAGCTAAGTACAGGTTTCAGTGATTATCTGGCCAGAGGCTAGAACTGGACATGGAAAATGAGCTAACACTGCACTGACGGAGGTGGGGCTGAAAGGTCCGAAGACCAGAAAAAAAAACAGAGACCCAAATGGGGAGCTTACACTGCATTTGCCTCTCTCTTCTGTGGGTGAGCCCAAGATGTCAGTTGTTGAAAGTGTTCGTCTGACATCTTCCATCATCACTCGTGTCACACACAAAAAGGTAAAAGCCATCAGTCATCATAAGGACTGGGCCAAAATTAGCCATTTAGAACTTCATGGAATACAGTGTAAATGCATTTGTTTTCAGTATTCGCAACAGCTACTGTTGTGATTGGCAGCAGCACATCTAAATGCTGTGAATGGCATTCCTAACTGGAAAAAGTCTAAATCACTGTTTTAATAAATGGGCTGTACTGGTTTACAAAAAGATTCCATTTATAAGAATACTGAACAAGTCGCACACACATCTGACATACTAAAGAGGCCAGTAATGAATACCCTATTCATCAGCATTTAATATAATACGTTAATTCATGTTTGATCTGTTAAAGGTATGTTCCCACCTCCTCCTTCTGATAAAGATATTTATGATGGGATTAATGACGAAGATGCTGCAACCAGGTATGTTTTTGTATCATTTTGCTTCTTTAGCAGAGTGTTTTCGTTTCAGTTTTTAGTATTCTTTAATTAGGAATAATAAATAGCAAGTATTAGAATGATCAGCGATATATGTATTGCTGGATATATATCAGGATGGGTTCATGAAGCAAAGGGCTCTTTGGCTCTTTTGGAGTGGTTTTGTTTTGTAATTATTTTTCATATGTCAGCAAAAGCAGCTGCAGTCATGAAAATCCACGAATTCCCAACTAGACAGAATAGCTCTGAAGTGAGATCAACAAAGTAAAATGCTAGCTTTTGGAGTAACAACATGAAAACAGTAAGCCACTAGATTAATATTTAAACCTACAAATACATCTCAATATCTACAAATGATATATATATTTATAGTTCAGCATTTTAGTGTTTAGCATTTAGGTAAGAGTCCTCACCTTGTGGTATAGACACCGTTGCCATTATTGAGAATTATGTGCATCAATGGAGAATTTAAACTGGACCTTTTAAAAAGAATGTTACATTTTACATTGTGATAATTGCATCCATACTCCAAAGGTCTGTATCGCAGGATGAAGATAAGAACGGTATCTGGTCCTGGGGAATCTTGAAGAGGCTAAAAGTCAAAGATGACAAAAAGAAAAGTGTACGAGAAAAACCAACCAAAGTCAATGTGGCAGAAGATAATGGAAATTTGTTGTAAGAGTCTGCCAGGAAATCACAGTGCACATTAACTAATTAAAAAAATTTGATCACATGCAACTAACATGTTCTTACAGCAACCTAATGAATCATGCATCAAATTGCAGCTCAGGATGATACTTTTCTGCAAAACCACTGACCTCCTTTCTTTTCACCTCTGTAATATAGCTATTTGCTTAATAAGCTGCATTTGTTGCATAAGTCTGGTAATTCAAATTGCCTTTTTTTTTTTTTTCTGGTGAAGAGTGCCAAAATAATGCATCATCTTTGTGCCACTCTGGTGATGTAAGTTTTCTGTATCCTCAGTTTAAATGTACTCTGCTCACCAGTATAATGTATCTGAGACAAACTGGCAAACCTAGTGCCATAATCCAAATTTTAAGAATACTGTGTTCAACAGAATAATGCAAAGATTGTCTTTTACCCATCTTGCCTACAGGTTAGATAAGCAACTGTTAGTTTTACCACTATCTTCTCTCATTCAGTTCTGAACAATTTTCCTTTGATTTAGTGGTAAAAATCCGTTTAGTCCACAAGTATTTCTGGTGTCAGCAGAGCTTCAAAATGTCTGGAGATTACTTGGAGCCCTTGTTGAAAGTTTTTTAAATTACTTAAATGATACAAAAGCCTATTAATGTGATATAAATACTTAATGAGCACCTTTTTTTACAGCATGCCTCCTTCAACAAAGCAGTTTGGAAAAGGTAATTAACAGCCTATTGTTCAGTCTCCATATTGATTCCCAATTTTTTTTTTTTTTTTTTTTTTGTATACGTTACTCTGTATTATGCTGGTCACAAAAATACATTCAAGGAAGGAAACAGGATTTCCCATTGCTTAGCCAGTTCCAGTAAACAAATTTCAAATATTGTGACCGATTTGTCTGCAGACAAAGAGATATATATACATTGCAAGCTCTCTGGAAAACAATTTAATGTAATTTTTTTAAGAAGCTGAGATTTTTCTATGTGAGATTTACACTATTTTGTTTTATTTGACATTAGTATGAACAGCTAGTTTTGGAAAAAAAGTACTTACTGCAAGACTTCAAAAGTAAAAAGGGATGCTTGTTGCTATTTTTATCACTTACAGTGTCTTTGTGAGAGAATATATATTCACAAATATCAGCTCAGCCTTGAAATGAAAAGCAAGTTCTTACAATTTTTGAGGCTTTTTCTAGACCTGAGTTCTAAACCTTTTATTTCCCACTGTGATTTTTCTAGCCATTGATTTGATGAGTTCAACAATTGCTTCCTCTTTACAAATATGTTGAATGTGATTCAAAGTATATTCTTGGGTAAGAGTTCACTGCTTTGGCATTGCAAGATGGTCTAAACCCTAATATACATGTGACTTATATCCACTGCTAAGCAACATTGCATTGACCACAGTGCTATAGAAGTGCCTGTGTGTACATTAAAATCAAACTCCAAAAATATACTTTGATGCAATACAATAGGAAATGGACTCATTAAAATGAAGATTAAAGGCTATTAAATTAGCCAACATGTGCTAAAACTTGCCTCAGCATCAAAAGATTAACATATCAGTGAATACCTATTATTATTAACAAAGAGTCTTCTGAAAAGGTTAGCTGATGTATGTTTTTCACAGTACATTGTGCAAAACAGAGAAGCCACAGTTACTATGGAGAGTAAATGGTTACAGTGACATAGATTGTAACAATATATTCACTACTCAAGGATTGCATAATGATTTTCCATTGTTTTAAAACTTTTTTGTTTCAGATTGTGGAGACAATGATGTTTATGATGACGTAGATCCTTCAGACTTCTCTCCTCCCCTGCCTGACCTCAAGCAAAAGAAAATGGCAATCTCTCCCCTGATTAGAAATCTGTAATACACTGAAAAACATTTTCGAAATATTTACTACAGGCACATTGCTACTAATGCGTGCTTTATTTGGTGTTAAGTTTAATTCTCATGACTCTACTGTTGACAATGGAAGTTGAATATTCCCTGCTTCCATTTCAGAGTGAAATAATAATTAGACTACAGAAAAAAAAAAAAAGCATGCATTGAATTTCAACAAATTTAGTCCCTGATGGACAAAAGGTAGAAATGAATACATGGCCTAACAGTACTTTGTTGTAGATTTTCTGCATGTAGTTCTTTTCTTATCAGAATTTGGGGACTGATATGATAAGTACTTGATTCCAGCTGCTGCAATATTTTAAGAGAAAAGCAGACAGCTGTTATAGGTATGAAACACATATAGCAGTGTAAAGTTCAGCTTGGAGAACTTCTATCCCTGTATTAGGAAGTTATGGCCATCTCTGGAGCACAGATGTGTTATGAGTACATCTATGAAGATGACTGCAACATGTCACATTCTTTTGCAATATGTCACATTCTGTTGTACTAACTCCATTCAGGTGGAGCTAAAGTGTGCACTACAATAAGCTAGTCTGGAGGCATTAAAACAGAGATAGCTCTTTGAACGCTGTACACAAAGGAAAAGACATAGCCTTCCCAAGCTAAATGTAGGTTAGTTCACACACAGACATACATTCATTATCAGTGAAACTGTCATCTGCAACTCCTGAAGAGATCAGGAAGGATCAAAAAGTAGGGTCAGACTTTGAACTCCCATGTATGGCATCAGGAGTTAGGGCACAAAACCCTTCCATGCTCACTGGCATAAGTCAACAGTACTGGGGATGTGGAAAAACCAACTGAACTTGAAAAGGGTCACGTAATGCAGATCCCCTTGTGTAGCAAGGTCGTGTATGGGCTCATAGAACTAACACAGCTACTGTACGAAAGGCCACGAGGTTCCAGCTGCCTCCACAGTGGGACATGTGTTATTCAGGCTATTCTCCAAAGATACATAGGCTTCACAAAATTTGCGCCTTGCCTAGAGATTCTAAGTGATGGCTATAATCTACCTAAACTATTTTTGGTAGATTTAAAGTTCTTATTGATGTAGCAGCTAGAAATGTCAAATAATTTTCCATATTCACTTATGTGATAGATATATTAACATCAGAACTCACTAAAAGAGAATACTAAGAAAGACAACCCCAACTTTTTATTTCTTTTGAAATCAAGTCTGTATTGCATTATCTGTATTGGTTTTGCAGAGCAGCAAAAACATGTGAAACACACCTGAAGGCAAATGCATTTTCACTAAAATTTTCAAAAAGTTTGTTAATACCTCAGATGTATTGTTAATTTAGTTTTTATTTGTAAACTTTTGTTTTAGTTCATCAAAATCAGCAAGGCTTGTAAAACACAAATCAGATGAAAAAGATGCACAAAAGTTTAAAAATATGGAAAGAGAAGAGAAACAGTTCAGAAAAAAGTTCAAAGTAAGTTTTGTTCACATAAAATATAAATACTAAAATATCTGTATTGTATCCTCTAATTTGCATCCCTTAATTTGCCAGTAATCAACTATTTTGCCTTCGAATGTAAAGTATTAGCATTTGTAAAAATAGTTATCTGAGTATTTATAAGTCCAAATGCAAGCATGGGCACATGATACACAGCATAAACAATCTTTTGCCTTATTTTCAAAAATTAACTAATAAGTGGGAGTATATTGGTCTAAGAAATGCATGATTATAAGCTTTATGTAGATCATTTTTTAATCAGCATCTCTTATTTTATTTTTGCAGTTTGAAGGTGAAATTAAAGTCATGTACTCTACCACAGCAGTCCAGGATTTGCCCCAGAGAAGATGGGGATCTAAAGACTTACAAGTTAAACCAGGGGAGTCTCTTGAAATTATAGAAAGTACAGATGATACCAAGGTCCTGTGCAGGAATGGAGAAGGAAAATGTAAGTTTTATTACAAAGCTGTAGTATAAATCAAATTATCAGAGAATGATTGAGTCAAGTTGCATAAAAAATTCTCTACCCTGCCATACTAAAGCAGAGTCTAGTATTTGTCCTTTTCTTTGCCTGGTGGTTGACAAGAGGCAAATTCTTGTTATTTTTATTATTTTAAGACAGGATTGTCTTAAAGCAATTAAAATTCCAACAGACAAGATATACCAAATGAGAGAAAAAGTACAGCTTAGTTATGTAAATCCTGCTTTGCATCAGCTGAGATTAGCAGATGATTTGGTTGCTTCTGTCTCTATTTGCCAAAAAGAGCATAGCTATAACACCCCACAGAAACTAGTAAAAGTAAAATCCTTGCTGCACCTCTGGGAAACATTTGCCCATTGATTGCAGCCAAGGGAACATCAGTAACAATATTCTTACTTTGGAAGCTTAATCTTTCCAAGAGGCTGTGTGGGAAACTGCTTAGGAGTCTTTCCTCCATCCCCTAGCTGGTTCAAGGCATGCCTGCTTGTCTGGGGAGCTGCACAAGGTCGTCCAGTTTTTCTTTGAAACCCTTGGCTGAGGCCTGCACTGGCAGAAGTTTTTTTGCATTTTTGAAGAACTTTGGACTATTTACTACTATTTTCAATTTATTAATGTGTTTCTGTTATTTTTCAAATCTCCTAATGAAAATTCACTGTGTAGGAAGACTGCATCCAAAGGAGAAGCATTTTTCTGCTCACTTTACTTTTTACCTTTGACCAGTGTAGATGACTGTCCAATGCTATATACCTCTCAAGGAGATACAGTCACTTTCCTTCTATTTTTCCCCGCTTTGTACTCATTGTTACAATCTGGATTATAACCTTCTCCTTGGCAGGCCTGCAGGGTGAGGGAGAATTTCTTGCATGACAACACATAATGTTTTTTCAAAATATGGGCTACACTAGTGTAGCCACATCCTAAAGTGCAGATTTCACTGCTGCATTTTTTTGAATCAAGCTAATAACAAAGTAGAAAGTAGTTCATGTCAGCTGTTTCCCTCACAGTCTTCAAAGCCTTTCAAACAGTAAGAGTGACTGCTTTGCTATGCATAAAAGAGCAAAACAAATAAAAATATCTTCCCTGGAAACCTCTGAATAGATCTCTTGTCAGTTTTCACATTCATTAGTGAAGTTTGAATCCTACTTTAGTTAAGTGCCTGACGGTTTCAGTTATTTTCTCTAGTTGCAGTAGTTTCTCATACCTTAAAGATATGATTTTACCTTTTGAAATTCAAATAGACTGAAAATCAACAACTAAAGATGTTTTTGTTAATTTCTTGCACATGAATTCTTGTGCTACGGACCCTTCACCAGCTCTGTTGCTCTTCTCTGGACCCACTCCAGTACCTCAATGTCTCTCTTGTAGTGAAGGGTGCGAAATTGAACACAGAATTCGAGGTGCAGCCTCACCAGTGCCCAGTACAGGGGGATGATCATTGTCCTGGCCCTGCTGGCCGCACCATTGCTGATACAGGCCAGGATGCTCTTGGCTACCTTGGCTGCCTGGGCACAAGCTGGATCATGTTCAGCTCTGTCAGTCAGCACCCCCATGTCCTTTTCGACCGAGCAGCTTTCCAGCCACTGTGCCACAAGCCTGTATCATTGCATGGGGTTGTTGTGACCTAAATGCAGGACACAGAACTTTACCTTGTTGAACCTCATACCACTGTCCACAGCCCATTGGTCCAGCCTGTCCAGATCCCTCTGCAGAGCTTCCATATCCTTCAGAAGATCAACACTCTCACCTATCTCGGTGTCATCTGCACATTTACTGAGGGTGCACTGGATGCCCTCATCTAGATCATCACTAAACATATTAAACAACACTGGGCCTAACACCGAGCCCTGAAGGACATGACTAGTGACCGACTGCCAACTAGATGTGACACCATTCACCACCACCCTTGGACTCAGCCATCCAGCCAGTTTCCAACCCAGCAAAGAATCCTCCTATCCAGGCCATGAGCAGCCAATTTCTCCAGGAGAATGCTGTGGGAGACAACATCAAGTGCTTTACTTAAATCCAAATACACAACATTCACAGCCTTTCCCTCATCAACCAGGCAGGTCACCTTATTGTAGAAGGAGATCAGGTTGGTCAAGCAAGACCTGCCCTTCATGAACCCATGCTGACTGGGCCTGATCCCTCTGTTTTCCCACACATGCTTTATGACCTCACTCAGGATTATCTGCTGCATGATCTTCCCCAGCACAGAGCTCAGGCTGACAGGCCTGTAGTTTCCAGGGTTCCTTCCTGCCCTTTTTGTAGAGAGGTGTCATGTTGGCCAACCTCCAATCCCCTGGGACCTGCCCACTAGAACAGGACTGCTGATAGATGATGAGGAGTGGCTTAGCAAGGTCCTCTGCCAGCACTTTTGGGTGGAACCCATCTGGCCCCATAGACTTGTGCATGTCTAAGTGAAGCAGGAGGTTACTAACCATTTCTTCCTGAATTATGGGCACTTGAATCAGCTCCCTGTCTCTGTCATCCAGTTCAGGGAACTGAGTACCCTGGGGATGGCTGTGTGACTATTAAAGACTGAGGCAAAGGCAGTATTAAGTACCTCAGCCTTGTCCTCATCCTCAATCACTAGGTTTCACCCAGTATCCAGCAGAGGACAGAGGCTCTCTTTGGCCCTTCTTTTATTGTTAATATATTTGAAAAAGCACTTTTTATTATCTTTGATGGCAGTGGCCAGATTTAGTTCCATGTGTGTTTTTGCCTTTCAAACTTCCTTTCTACACAACCTAACAACATCCTTGTATTTTTCCTGGAGTGACAGTTCCTTCTTCCACAGGTGATAGATTCTTTTTTTTTACCCTGAGTTCCAGCAGTATCTTCTGTTCAGCCAGGCTGGTCTCTTCCCCAACAGTTTTATTTTTGGCACATAGGGGCTGCCACTCCTGCACCTTAAGGATTTCATTCTTGAAGAGTGTCCAGCCTTCCCGGACCTCTTTGACCTTCAGTAATGTTTCCCAAGGAATTGTGCCAACCGGTGTCCTAAATAGGCTGAAGTCAGCCCTCTGGAAGTCTAAGGTGGAGATTTCGTTGACCTTCCTGACTTCTCCAAGGACTGAAAATTCTATCATTTTGTGATTGCTTTCCCAAAAATGGCTCCAACCATCACTCACGAGTACTTCTCTGTTTGGAACAGCAAGTCTAGCCAGGCATCCCCCCTAGTTGGCTCACTCACCAGCTGGGTCAGGAAGTTATCTTTCATACTCTCCAAGAACCTCCTGGATTGTTTCTTCTTTGCTGTGTTCCACTTCCAGGAGACATCTGATAGGGTGAGGTCCCCCACGAGAACAAGGGCAAGCAATCATGAAACTTGTCCCAGTTGTTTGAAGAACACTTTATCTGTAGCTTCATCCTGGCTAGATGTCCAGTCTTAAACAGAAGGTAGTGCAGATAAGTGTCAGATAAAATATGATCACATAGAATTAATGGCTTTCTAGGCAACCTTCAGGTCTAGCACAAGACAGAGGTTTTCCTTAAAAGGCAATGTCTTTAATGCATTACAGCCTTCACATAGCAAATTGCTAATCTACTTTATATATAGCATATTCTGGGAAAAAAAAACACCCTTACTTACATTTGAGATTTATAGCACTATCTGATATCTACCTATTTTAAGGTGGAAATACACCAAGTTAAAAGGAATTATGCAAATATTTCTTTATGAAGAAAAGCAGTATATAAGAATTAGTTATTTATTACAATTTGCAGGACTATTGGGGATATTAGTCTTGCCAGATAATTTTTTAATATTCCATACAGGAATCATAGGACATTTCACATTGGCCATTCAAAGACTGCCAATATGACAGCTTTTGGGAACAGTACTAGCTCATTGTGACTGATGCCAGTTTGCAAGGGAGGGTTTCCTCTACTAGTAAATATCTTCAAAAGTGTGATTTCAGTTAGAACAAAATTAGGGCTTGGATGTGAAAAAGGCTTAACACAAAATATGAGATTATCTGGACATTACTGTGCATTTATATTAAAAGAAAAAAAAAGACAGACTTAAGAGACTTTTATGTCTTGTGTATTAGAAAAGAAAAATTCCTTAAGGATCTGGAGATTCAGCTGGACTGACTTGAAGGATTGCCACAAGATAGATTATCAGAAAACTGGTACTTTCTGTACTATATAATGGTTTTTCTAAGTACATGGAACAGTATCGCCTCCAGGAATTAAAGGAAATTTACAAGTCAGGCTAACAAATTTATTCTAAAACCTATGAATATTGTATGAACGACTAAAAACCTGACATTTTAGTGTGACCACGTAAGCCTCCTAATGAATAAAAGAAAGAAACTTATATAATAATTTCAAATATAACACAAGATCACATTTCTCATTTTAGCATTGTCCTAATTTTGTAATATGTCCTAAATATGTAATTACTGTTGCAGCTTTCTCTTTGCTCGCATGTTACACCAACTGACAAATATTTCTGTAGATATCTTTTACCAAAGTTAGCAAGCATTTTTTTCAAGATGTTAGATGAAGAATATATGCAGTTTTATCTGATTTAATTAGTATTGCAGCAGGGTAATAAAATATTTCACTAGTGAGCAGCTTTTCTAAGGTATATCCATTATCTATATAAAGAGCTCTTATCAATATAATACAGTTAATGATTAATTGGTGTATACATCTTGAAAGACATTTTGTCCTATATACATATTTCTGGTTTTTAATATTATAAATAATATGTGGTTATTATTATACCACATTTTTGTGCTATAATTCATGAACTGTACTTTATTTTGTGTTAATGGCTATTATTTCACACCTCTCTCATGCAACCAGGAAACTAAAATAGAAGATGAAAACCTAATCTCACACAAACTGTATTACTATTTCCTCCTTTCAGCACTAATTTTGTACACAATGGAAACTACTCCAACAAAACAAGACAAATGAGATTTGATGAATACGTGAGGTACCTGGCACAATAGTCACCCAACTGATTTTGGAGCTTCTGTAGTATTGTGATTCCTTATCTAAGGCGTAGATATGTTAAACAGCAAATAATGATTAAAACTAAAATTGGACATAGCATAATTTTCCTCAAGTATATACTTGAGTATATACAAGTATATACCTATTTTTCATTGTTATCCACCTATTACGTCTTTCTGTCTGAAACATCTAAAAGAGAAAAACTGTATTTCACTACTTCTAGCAATGGAATAACATGAATATTTAATTAAATACAAATATATTTCAATTTTACAGATGGCTATGTTCTGAGAAGTGATTTAGTTCAGAAGTAAGTACAAAGTTATCTATTTGAAAAAAATTGTTGTAACACTCAATTTTGTTTTAAACTGTTTGTTAAATAGAAGTGGAACATAGTTATTTTAGTATGTCATTCTAGTCCTGCAAATTAATTTCTTTTAATGGAGTTTAGATTTTTCAAGAATTAGTCACACACATCCATGTTGGAAATTTTCCAGGGCTCCATTCCTTGTTGCTTAACCATAAACTCTGGTTTAAATCATGAAAAATTACACAAATTAAACATTATTAGTACTAGAATCTATTACTGAATGGTCCGTTACTGGGAGTAAGTGTATTGATTCCATTTTAAACTGTTTAACTAACATGGACCAATTTTTTTTAGGTTTAATATTATTTCAGTCTCATAGGGATTGAGCAGATTTGGCTCAGTGTTGCTCCAAATAACTGCATGGAGTTCAGCACTTAGATTCTAATTCAAAACTCTCACCAAGCAAAGTCTTTCCATTTCCTTCAATGGGCTTTATGTTAGCCCCTTAAGCATCAAATCAGATGTCACTTTTAGAATTCAGTCCTGCAAACACTTATACACACATTTCTTATATGTATAAATAGCCTTATTGGCTTCCATGGGCCTATTCATGTATCTAAGTGACATATTGTAAAAATTCACAGAGCATGTATCATTTATCAACATTACCTAAATTCATTAATTAAATAGCTGCTACTCCAAAACCATTATGGCATTGCCAAATACAGAAACAAATAAGAATTTCAAGGGCATAATGATATTTTTTGCTCATCTTTTCTGGTTTTCATTTTAAAAAAAATCAGTAAGCATTTAATTGTTTTATGGCAGTATCTCTATGAGTTTGTTAGAATAGCTACTTAAAAGCTCAATCAAAAAACTTTTACTGAAAAAAGCCTTGCATGTTAGAAATGTATACAACTCTACCCTCTACTGAAAATCTTTTGACATGACCATCTTGTTCAACACAGTACTGTTACCACAAAGATTGCACTTTCCTAATTAGCTAATTAATTACTTCATGGCACGTTTGCACCGTACCAGTATGCTATCTTTTATCTGCATGCAAGTAATAATATCAACCCAAATCATTCTGTGATTCTATGGTCCGATGTCTCAATTTTTTACATACATTATTTTTCTTTTTTTTTACTTACAGTGATGGAGAGATTTACGATGATATTGGTGATGGTATGTTGAACATTTCAAACAATACAATAACAGTATTCAGTTACACCAAATAACTTTATTCTTGAGTTGAAATACTATATAATATTAATATTTTTTGCATTTTATTTCCATTTCAGATTGCATCTATGATAATGACTGAGGCAGAATTTTATTCAAGTAAGAGGTTCATTGAAGATCAAAATCTATTCAGAGTTGCTAATTGTGAAAGCAAGAGAAGTCACTAAAGCTGATTACAAGTTAACTCAGTTACACTCTTACAAATGTACAATTAATCTTTTTTTAGGATTTCAGGGTTCTTGCATTCCTTGCTTTGTATGACATTTGAATTGCCATTTATCTGAGCAATTAAAATTCAGGGAATATGAGCTAAAGTTAAGGTTACCATATTCCACTTTCTTTCCACATTTATGATAGTCCATGTAAAAACACTTCTTCAACTAGCTATACCCAGAGAGGCTAGTTCAGGTCTATGAAGTATACAGATGACAATAAGCCCTGGGAACAGGTTTTACTTTGGCTCTGGTCTATTAAACACCAGAGACTCCCACTCTGGGAAGGACAGTATCCTGAAAAGAAATGCTTCCTTTAGTGATAACATCCTGTTGTGAAAACAGGAAATCAAAAGTGGGCATCAGAGAAGACAATACATTGCTGACCTGCCATTCCAACTGCAATAGTGTTAGCTACACTGACATGTACAGCCATGTACCATCATTGCTCAAGTTGCTTTTTCTGTGTTGTACTAATGATAAAATATCATTCTCTAAGGTTCATTTGACCATTCTGTAAGTACTTTTTGACTAACAGTAAATTAGTAACAATGCTACCTGTCTTACATACAGCACTCTGAGATATAAACCATAGAACGGCATAGTATAGGCTATAGATTATAGTATAGCATTGCTCAAAATATATTCAGAACATTTAGGTTAAGATTTAGTTCCTGTTTAGTTTGAAGATATGTTGCTGTTGCCACTATAGTCATTAACATGGACCTATAAACTGATGATTGATTGGAAATAATTTATAGATTAAATATGTATTTTGATAATACCTTTTCATCTAGGTACTATATTTTAGACTTGGCTGAATAAGAGAATAGAAACAACATTTATTCCTAAGAATCATTATGATTCTCTGAATGAGCAAGTAGCAAACTAAAGTAAAATGAACAATGAATCATAACAATAAATATCACTTTGCACTTACCTATCCAAACTCTCTGGAAATCAAAAGACAGTTACAGTGAACTCCTAGTAAAGAGGGTGAGCATGCACAGAAAATGGAACGTATACTTTTAATGTGTGATGCTTTCTCTGTAGTGCAAGATAATCAAAAACCTGTAATAACCAATGTGGCTGGATCAGTGTAAGCAACTCCTCCTGATAATCAAGGCTCCTATAATCCTCAAGGGAAGTAAAGCATACTGTGCAAACCAGTGCAATGTAGCAAACTAGCAAGTTTAGCTTATAAACACAAAATTTTTGTCTCTGTTGAAGTCAGTGAGTTTTGGTCTTATCTTCAGTGGTGCTGAGATTTCATCTTACACAAGTGCCTTTTACTGACCGTTCAAAATACAGTAAATCTTGAAGGAGGTATAATGCTATGGGGATATCAAACTTAAAATTAACTGTTGAGATAGTAGCCTATAAGCTGTTTTATACTGTATTTAAAATCACTTATAATACACTGAAAAGCTACATGTAAACTTGCGATTCCTGTTCTATATTTGCTACTCAAACCAGCATCCAGGCATAGAAATACCAATTTTCTGTGTAAACATCAGCACCAGCACCCAAATTTTAAAAATTACCTTATTATATTGAGTGCAATAATGCATTTGGTTATTTGACTATATTGCTGCTGGTGGTTTATTTATTTTTTAAGGGCATTCAAGAGGGTATCCTCATCAAAGTAGTAATACACCAAAGAACTGAGAAGGAAAGCAGACATTTAGAGATACACAACCACTTATTAGTTTTACACAGTTAGTTGTTGCAAAACACTCTGTGTTAAACTCTAGCATATATGCCCAGTCTTGGTTTAGTTTTAACTGATAGTAAATTTCACATGTTGCACTAAGACCAACAAAGAAACTTCCCTTCTGAGTATAGTTTAACTATCTTGTGTTAAACGACTTCAGTAGAATACAAACCTCTTTTGTCCCCCTGATAAAGAAGTAAACTATTCTTTGTGAGATTTTTCAGTCACATATTTTTAATAGCTTTTAATGTTCTTAGCCTTGATGTGCTGTAGGTACTGTGTTTCCTTACTGAATATATTGACTGAATTTGTCATACGATACATCAAATAATGAAAAGAAATAATCATAAGATTCTTTAAGCTAAAAATCTGTGTATTGTTTATGCAGATCAAATATCATGTGGTTGTTACAGGGTGTATAAATGTATTTAAAAGGTACTATGCACTGAAAAATTACTGTATTGTATATTTTTTTCTTTTCATTATTTTACCAACTTTGTTAACTGGATCCATTTCTTTTTCTCTCTTCTGAATAAAAATGTGCTTTTTGACAAGAAATGTGGGTGCACCATTTTCTGCCAAAGTAGAACAACAGCTGAACAGTAACTTCTGAAAATTATCACCAAGTGGCTAGCAGAATGAAAACTGATTTTATTGGCAACATAACTAAAATACGGCATTTCTTGGTCAGTAATTACTATCCAAAAAGTGAAAGCAGAAAATCTTCCAGGCAGAAAAATCTATACTTAGGCAGTTTAATAAAGCCAGTATTTTAAGGGCTTCTCACCTGTAATTTATTTTGTTATCTTTTGAAGAACATAAAGAAAAAAAGGAAAACTGTTCTCTCTGGTTATTTTTCCCTCCCAAAACTCGGTCTGTGATCCTGGAGTATTTGGCTTTGCCTGCTAAAACATTCAGCAGTGAAAACGTCAAAATATTGACATAAAAATTAGACTTCAGCATGAACACCACAGCTATGGTAAACAGAAATGTTTTCATCTGTGTTTTACCTCTGTGCTGCGCCAGTACACAAGCTAAGCAAAACCAAAACTGGGAGTGCAATAAAGGCTTCTCTAATTCAGGAGCTTTAGAGCATTTCTCTGCTGTTAGCACAGGCTCTGGACTGCAGGAATGCAGCTGATCTCCTGTGCATTCCTGTGTAAGAGGTTTATGTTCCTGATCCACATAATTGCAGATCCCTTGGCTACTTCTCCCACTGTAGTAACAAAACTCCTCTATGTGCGATGTTGTTGCACAATCCACCTCAGCTGTGAAGATCAGTGCTTTAGTGAGGGAAGGAAACTCAGTGGAGGAACCTAGACTCACTGTGTGTGAATTATATCACCCCTCACCACAACATTACTTCATGACAGCTATAGGCATAAACATGTTCGTGCATACACATGCATATCTCTGGATGTGTATATTTTCTGTCAAGTAAAACAACCTCTGAGGAAACTAATGGACCTTTAGAAGGACTTCTGTACAGCAGCTCCAGACCATGTCACATAGAAAAGCTTTTGCACGTAGCTTTTCTACAAAGTGAAGCACTCAAATGCTAGGAGGTGCAAGAAATTAGTTTGCATTTGCACAGTTTCTGCTCTGTCTCCTTGTGTGGATGTGTCTTTAACTGTGTGCACAGTCTATAATTACATGAGGGCTCAGTATTTTTTCCCACAGGATCCCCGCCTCATTTAGTGCATGGGTTGGATGAAAGTTAACAGAAAAGGCAGTTGTTCAGCCCTGCTTATACAGTTTCTGGACACTCCTCTATTTAGTGCAAATCTTCCCAAGCCCATGCTGCACCCAGAATTAGTTTCTCATGGCATTCATCACAATGATATCTCAGATTTCCTATGAACAGTAATGGATTTCTCATGAGAGAGGAAAATATTGTATCCCTGGTTTTGGTGTATGAAAGCAAGGCACAAACAGAAAACAATTTGTGGCACATACCCATTAATCCTGGATATAAAAACAAACTGCTAAAGCTAAATTAATTATATTTTTTATACTTTCCAAGACTAGGACTCTCACTATTTTCCATCTCTTTGCCTTTACTTGTGATTAAACACTTTGTGTTTAAAAAGTATTAGCATCCCAAATGAGTATTTTTAATATACCATGCTCACAGTAATAAAAAGAGGGCAAATAGGCAATACTGATTAAAAGTGAATTTAAGTAATACTTTACATAACATTCTGAAACTTAATGAAAACTGGGGACAAATTCTAGAAGTGAGTGGTCTACACTGTCCCCTCCACTTACACCCAACCTACATATTGACAGCAAGTTTGTTGGCATGGTTTTGAGTCAGGTCTATGGCTTTTGCCAGAATTAAAACCTTTCATGTATATGGTTTGGGGATATGCCAGGCTGAGACACCCAAACCAGTTCTGAAAGGATTAACTTATTTATCAGATGCCATTTACTCAGGATTGCAGCTAAGCCTTCCAAGCCTGCCACCTTGACTACTTAGCCTGACAAAGAAACAAGGTAGGGGTGCACCTGAAGGGTCACTCTAACCAGTTTCCATCACTGAAGCCAGCTGGAAGGTATCTCTGTGCCACGACACAGCCACGGCACTGCAGAAGGACACTGCAGCATGTCGTAGTGTTGTGCAGAACAGCTCCGTGGTAGCCCCAGGTCCCCTTCTCTTCCTGGGTGGAGCAAAATTGCAATGATCTCACAAAGCCTTTCTTCTCTGTCTTTCATTCTAGCTAGCTGGCTCCTGAACATACGTAAAGTTTGTTAAATTATCTCCACTTGCCGCCTTCTAAAGCACTTTGAGAGGATTAAGTTATTATTAAAAGTATAGAGTTTCTTGCTCAAGGCTTTTTATATTGTGGGCCTCATTGAAAATATGGGAAACTATGTTTATTTTCTTTCTTAACACACTGACACATAAATATTACTTAAAGCTTTCACTGTTAGGCAGAAAGTAAGTATGCAAAACATCAACAAAAATGTGAATGAAATGTGAATTAGATGGATAGCAAAGGTTTTAAGAAACATTATACGATTTGCATTACTTCATTAATATTGCCAAATCCTGCAGCTCAAGCATCATGAGACAGACAAAGAAAAGAAAAATCAGCACTGGCTTATTTTCCTGCCTTTTAATTCTTTTTTTGGCCCGATTCCTGATTTTCAAGGTCTTAGCAGGAAAAGCTGCCTGATCCCTCATTTGCGTGTGGGTGCGCATCAGGTGGAAACGTACACAAACCAGAGACACAGAAACCAGGACTCCAGTCCCCTTTTCTTGATGACAGAAGGGACACACGGCCAAGCTCCCTTGCCTTCTCCTGCATCTCAGCTTCTCCCAAGTTCTCCTGCCCTGGACAATGCTGTCAAGCAGTTTCCATCTCATGCTGGTAAGACCAGTTTCTTCTTCTGTATTGACACAAAGACACCCTTATTTTTGTATTTTCATTGCCTCCTTTCACCACCTGAGAAGTTCTCTGTACGCTTTGACTTGCTTTCTCAATTACTTCCTGTTCCCTATAATTATTCCTCTTTTCCTTCATTCTCTGACCATACTGTTCTGCCCTTTGCCTTTCTGCTTCCTTGTTCCTTTCTCTTTTCATCCTTTTAAACTGTTCCCCTACTTTTTCATTCCTGCCCCTGGCTCTTTCATTTTTATCCCGGTTTTAAAAGCTGTTCTGTTTAAATGCTCTTTTTTGTGTGTGTGCAAGATTCCTAACTCTGTGGGTGACACCAGCAGAGGTTTTATGAGTCACCAACCACTGAGAAGACTTAGAATTCTTGTATTTTGTGCTCTACAGTGTTTATCCCATTGCATTTTAAATCAGGCCAAACATACCTTACTTCTGCCCTCAGTATTTTGGGGAGGTTTTTTCAGTACTTAAGTTTGTATGCTATATGTAAATAAATTTAGTTTACTTAAATTTATTGACAGTTTAAATTATAAAAAATAAATTAAAAAAGAAAAAAGAATGCATTTTCTAGCCCAACCCTTTTCTTTTTCTGCTCCTGTATTCATAGACATTTACTTGTTACCAGCCATCTAAGGGACTGAAGGCTGTTCTAATGATATCCACTGACTGCTGAGCATCTCAGCTATCCAAATATTTCAGTATGGTTACCATGATGTGTAACAGTATTGCTATTAAAATGTTAGCCAGCCCTTGTCAGCCCATGGCCAGGGAAAATATTAAAATTAAATAAAAAAAAAAAAAAAGACCATGAAGACCTATAAAAAAGCAGCTTCTGCTGCCACACGGATTTTGAATTCAATGGTGATAAATTATCCTTACATGCAGCTCAAGCACTATTGCTGGAGCTTATTTGGACTGAAACACTTAACATCTGTGGTTTTTAAAGATTTTTTTTCCTCAGGTCTAATTAATATGCCAACCATACCCAAACTCAACACCTGTTGCTTTTCACAGCTTCAGTAGAATTATGCAGCACAGAATGCTGTGAATGATCTTACATGAGCGGGAGCCTGGGTGTAAGGTTGCACTAATTAACAATCTAGTTAGCAATCTGCCTAGTTAATCAGAAAGACTTGCTGCATCACTTGACATTCTCTTATTTTGCAGCTGGTTGTTGTTGCTTTAGTTTGACACTTACTGCTACTCTTCATACTTTTCTGCCATGCGCTGTATGGTCATTTTTCTAATTTCTTCCTTTTCTGGACACTGAAGGAGTATTAACATTCCACCTAGTTGCAATCAATTAATTTTTTTTTTTTTTTACTAGTTTATAGTTCTAGCTGGATTTAAGTGTATATATTAATGAATTAACTTAGATTATGCTGTTTTTCAAAATCAGAGCAATTCCAGAAAAAAAAAAAAAACAAAAAAAACACCTGAGATTAACATTTTATTAGGAATTGTTTTTTCTTTAGCCAAATCACATTGCTTTTGCAAGTTGTTTTACTGATACTTACAAAATTATCCACAGAACTCCTTTTCCATAACAGTATATGTACAAATACACATATTGAAAAGGCCGGCACAGGAAAATATTAGGAATATTCCACATCAGCCAGGAGCACAATCACATCCCAGAAAGCAGATCCAGTGGAAGCAACCTCTCTGGGGAGCAAACTGCAAATTACCCCTTACAGAAAAAGCTGATTGGTGAACATGAGACCAAAAGCAACAAATTAAAAAATCAACACATGGCTCAAAAGTTCAACAAAAATATTCAGCATCCACCTAGACCTCGTGGTTATGCACTAGGGTCCTCCTTGCTTCATTTATTCTCTGCAATGCAACCCCCCCCCCCAATCCCCTTGCTTATACCCAGACACAGCTGAGGCACAATAGCTGCACCCATATTAATCACTTAAAGCAGTGCCAGGAAACAAACATCCCTGGGCATTGAAGACTGATGGTCTTTTCTGTCACTCTGGCCAAACCAAATAGTTTTGGCTCAGGACCAGTGTGAGGCTGTACAGAGATGGCCCAGCACATATTTACAGGATCTCCATGCCACCATGTCCTTTCCAAGCAACCCCATGGGCCAGATGGATTCCCAAGGGAGCAGATGTGTGTAAAATGAGATATCCATGCTTTCACATTGCCCTT